CGAAAATTCCCACCCTTTTTAACGCTCATCGTGCCTTCGGCAATGGGGATTCCACTAGTTAGGCCGTTGTCGGTTACAAGCTCGAATTTGTAACCTAAGCCATCGACCGGCCCTCTTTCGCGCCAAGCCTCAAGACGACCCCAAGGCTTCCAGCTACTAACCGAGTCGCCATTAGGCCGGAGAATGAGCCACGCACCAGGGTTTGATCGTGAAACGCGATTAGAGCCCGGGGACGGGACAAATGGTGTGATCATAGAGGCTGCTGCAACGGGTGAACCGGATAGATCGTAAATTATTATCATCCAACCCTTTCGCTCTCTTCCCGGTTTGTCTCTATCACCCGAAAAGGTTCTCATCATCCATCTTTTATTATTGCTGTTGAAATCTGGAGGGAGAGACCTGATTTTACATAAAAGAAATTAGAAACATCACATGGAAACAACCTTAAAAACCAGATATTGTAAATGTTATAAAAAGTTAAATAGAGAATAGTATTGTCATAAAAACAAGCTTATGGCATGGAATCAAATGTTGAACATTGATAACAATTAATTAGAGAGCTTAATCTTTGTTACTTTGACTAAATCATCAGATTTAGGAGATAATCACAAGAAATTTTTCCTTAAATGGGAACCTGAAATACCAATTACTGTAATAATTATCAGTTGAAAGATTTTTGAGCCATTTTTCTCAGAGTCTTGAAACTTTCTTTGTTGTTCTTCATTAATTGAATTAAATACTTTTGAATCACTAATTCTAATTAGAGGGATTTTTTAAATTCCTAGTCTTCAACAAGAAAGAGGTGGAAATTATTCCTTTTCCTACAATGAAAGCATCAAGTTAGTGTCAAGGCTGGACTAAAAAAAAATCTTTAGACTAGAAGCAAAAAAAAAATAATAATAATAATAATAATAAAAAAACATAAAAATGTCATTTACAAAGCAAGGATTCAAGTAGGGGCCATAAATGTTCACGGAACAAAATATAGGTATAAAGGCATGTTCGATAGCGATTTTGAGAATTGATTTTTTGACCGTTAAGAGAAAAGCGAGGGCCACCTGTTAGAAAAGACGCGAAAAATTACAGTTGAAATAATAAAATAACGATCAAAAATTAATTTTTTTGGGTGAAAAATCACTCCCAAACGGGGTCTAAATTAATTAATTTCTATATAAATCCTTAAAAATGTATTTTGCTATTTCTTGTCTTATATTATTTATTTATATATTCCCCTCTTTTTCTTTTTCCCTAATTTGGTCTAAATCAATTTTTTTATTTCTTTTCAAGAAAAAAGCTTAACTTTGACCAAATTATTAATAGGGTATAATCATTTTACTTAAAAAAGAATTAACTTTCTTTAAAACAAATATACAAGAAAAGACTTGAAGAGAAAGGTTGTGGGCCTCAGCCTACGCAACCTTCCATCATGGCACATTACTAAAGTGCGCTGGAGGGGCTCACCGTGACCTGTTGTTCCGATCGGCGCTAAACTTGCAGCTGAAAACCGGCTGGCTTATGTTCCCTTGAATCTGAAAAACCACAGGGCTGCACTGCGGTTCACCTCCGAATTGGAACACGAACCGAGGATCCGGTTCAGACCGGACGGTGAAATGCAGCCTCGCCACCGACTTATCCTGCTCTCTCCCGTTCCCGCCGAGTTTCATCCAGCCGTTATGGTACACGACGCACCTCGACTGTGCGTTACCAAGGTCGATCAAAACCTGAACGGAGCCCAAGTGCTTACCGGAAGTGACACCACAAGTGCGTCCCATTCGGCCGGCGAAGAGGGAGATTTTGAGAGTAATACGCTTGCATGAGAGTCGTCGGAGGGCGTCGGGGTCGAGGTGGAAGCCTTCGGCGGAGGTGGAGGAATCCGGCGGGTCATTGGTGGCTGATGTACAGAGTGGGAGGAGGGCTGTTTGTGATGGAAAGTTTTTCATTTTGAGCTTCGCATAGCATGGCGTGGTGGATGGGTGGACTCTCGGACCCGCCGACTTGGTGGCGGAAGGGAGTTTAAGAGCCAATGACTCCACAATTAAACGAACAAATGGGCAAGGATCCATTGACAGAATTCTTCGTCTTCTTCTTCTGAATTGATAATTAATGGTGGTTTGAGAAAGAGAGATTTATGAGCTTCGGAGAGTTCTATATACTGAGATAATTTACATTGGATTGAATGAATGAATATATGTCGGCTCAGAGCATTAATTGTGTGTCGAGTTTCTCGTTCCTATCTGGAAATGTTAATTTCTCACTTGTTGGCTAAGGAGAAGGTTTTCTTATCGTGAATGACTCGCGGGCGATATATGTGTGACCAAAGAATTAAAACAATTTTGAGGAAATTTTATTTTATTTTATTTTATTTTTATAAGTTACTTTATTTAAATGGATTAATGTGTTATAATTGGTCTACGTGAGCAAACGGCAAGAGGTAAATAAAATGTTTTTTTAGGTCTTAATCGATATCGCACAGAAAATAATTAAGAGCTTGCGTAACAAGGGCTTTTTTGGTAGAAGACTTGGTATATTTGATAAAAATTGATGAATATGTGGTTATTATTAAGGTTCGACTAGACAAAAGGTTTATAAATTTCAATTAAAAATTAAGCACTAAAGATATGTTTGTAGTTTTTATTGAATTACACTTGAGTAGTTTACTTTAACAATTTAAAAGCAAGAAAATATTTTTTAATGTTTATCGAGTATGGGATGTCATACTGGATTGGGTTTGTTAAAATATATTTATAGGTCCTACTAAATTACAATCGAGTAGTGTAATGAAATAAAAGGAAAATAAATGTTTTTTTGTGACGCGTGTGAGGTACAGGGATATCTGTTAAAATATACTTACAGTCCTAACTGATGTCATAGATAAAAACTTAAGAAGATAAAACATGTTCGTAGGATCTACTCAATCACAATTGAGTAGTGTAATAAACTAAAGAGTAATGTTATTCGTAGTCGCCCTACATAGCATACACATAACAAGTGATTATTTGATGCATTAATGTGGTAGTTTTTTTATTCATTAATGCATCTAATAACCACCTGCCATATAGGGCGACTATCACAGTGAGCGACTGCAAATAGTATTATTTTAAACTAAAAGACAAGAAGAGATAATTTGTGGTATTTGTCGAGCACAGAATATCTTGTTGAACCAGAACAATTAATAGCAAGAATAGTATTTTGTGACATCTGCCGAGTACAAGATGCATTGTTGCAAGACTCTTTTAAAATATATTTGTATGTCCTTAACAATTTTGCAAGAAAAAAATAGATAAGATTTATTTGTAGGTCTTTCTCAATTATAGTCGAGCAGTATAATAAATTGAAAGGCAATGAAAGAGATTTTGTGACATTTGTTGAGTTACTTGAGTATGTGATACCTTGCTTAACTGCATGTGTTAAAATACGTTTGTGAATCCCATACAATGTCATAGGAAAAAATAGTTACAATATACTTGTAGGTCTTGCTAAATCACGGTTGAATAGTGCAACTAAAAAGATAAGAAAAAATATTTTGTAAATTTGAGAATACAGTGTCTTGCTTGATGGGGTCCGCGTCCTGCTCGATATCGTGGGAGAGAATAGGTGACATATATTTGTATGATCTAGTAGTTTGATAGACTTAAAGGGAAGAAAAGATATTTTGTTGCATCTATCAAGTATAAAATGTCTTACTTGATCGTGCCAGTTAAAAATGTTTGTACGTGTCCTACTCAATGTCACGTTATATATATATATGTGTGTGTGTGTGTGTGTGTGTGTGTCCTTCTCAATTAAGGTCAAGTAGTGTAATAAACTAAAAGTCAAGAATATATATTTTATGACAAGTGTCGATTGCGAAATGCTTAGCTTGATAGAGTTTGTTAAAATATGTTGTGAAAGAAAATTAGATAACTTATGTTTGTAGGTCTTACTTAATCACGGTTAAATAGTGTAATAAATTATAAGGCAAGAAATATTTTTATATCATTTGTTAAGTATGAGATGTCTTTCTTCATCAATTTTATTAAAATATGTTTGTAGGCCTACTTGATATTGCGTAAAAAATATATATATAAAATAATTTTATAGCTCTTAATGACTCACGATCGAGCGGTGTTATAAATTAATAAACAACAAAAGAATTTGTTAGAGTACGTGAAGTATGGTATCTTGTTTGATCCAATTTGCAACAATATAAAAGAAAGTAATGAACTTTTTCTTACAATACTTAAGACTTTTGTAAGTAAATCTTTCTTAATATAGTTCAGTAAGCCAAGGCTAAATCAAGAATGATATTTTGTGACCTTACTCAATAAGTTGAGTAATCAAAGATTTAGTATGTTAGATGGCATATGTTTAATACTTGATTTTGCCATGCCAGTTACCTTAAGATCGACTCATTTTAAACAGCTAAGGTTAGGTCAACAAAATTTGGTCATCAATACATAGTCAATTCTATTCGAACTTGACACTGCACAAGGTCAACATTTAATTCGTTGAACGTTGATCTCGATTACGATAATCAATGGGATGGAATACTTTGTATTCTGGTCTTCGAAAAGTCAATCATCCTCTTAATTAACCTTATTCATGTACGGCACGTTGACTTTATCTATGGAATCTTTCAACCTCGAAGGGTTGATAAAGTACAACTAAGTTATTAAACCATATTAGTACAACCAGTAAAATCATTTCTGAATTAAGAAAATTTGTACAGTGTAATAAATGAGTATTCATTATGAAAAGTGCGACTAAAATTAACATTTAATTTTAATTGAATTTGTAAATAATTTATAAACGTTGTCATTTATTTACTAATTTCTAATTTTTGTATTAAAAATAGATAGTTATTTTTCGCTTGAATCCAACTTTATTATTTATTTATTTTTTTGGGAAAAATATGAGAATAGAAATTGGCGGTAATTTAACGATAAATTGTAGATAAAAACGAGATCCAACAAATTGGGGGCCCATAACAGCTGGACTATGGCTGTCACCACGTTATCGAATGCATGCATTAACAGCTGGAATTTATTTATTTAACACAAAAATGCAAATTATCAGATTTTCCTGTCAGATATTTGAAGAGAATACATTGGATGACGTGTCACTGCCGATCACCCTCGGATCATGCAATTTTGGGCGGCTGTCAATTGGCGGCGAGATTAGATAATGTTTTTTTTTTTTCTCCTTAAATACTTTGGAATAAATAATGTTCACAATAAACATATATTTATTTATAATGTGTAATTATAAGCAAAATAAGCACAATAGTTTTTTGAGAATATGTTATTAAAAAATGAGGAAAATATAAATTAAGGTGTAAAATTATTTTACTAAAAATGAGTTTAAAAAAATTTATAATGAACATGAATTGATATAGGTCCCGTTTGTTTCTCATTTATGTAAAAATGAGAATTAAAAAAAATCGATTACGAGTTCTACGCAAGAGATAGAAATTCAAATATAGTGGTCTGATATGATAGGTAACGATCATATTTTTCATTTTAATTGGGAAAAGAATGAGAAACGAAAAGGGGTATAAACTAAAATTCAATTCGAATATTTTCATGAACATCGTGACTCGAACATATATTATAAAAGTCTACCAGAGAAAGCCAGCATTTGATCAATTTTTTGAAATGTTTTAAGATAAAAAGGGGAAAAAGTTGGGAGTAAAGAGTTATATCTTTTAACAGAATATTGCCATTTTTTTTTTTTTTTGAATCACACCAAACACTGCAAATTGGTGCTTTTATCTTAAATTATTCATACACAGTTGTTAAAATGATTGTCAGTTAGTTAAATAAAATAATTTGTAAAGACTCCTTTTTCTATGTTCTTTTCAAGCCCTTTCCCTTTTTCTTTTTTAGGGTTAGTCTGTCCCTTCCATTGAAATCATTTTTTTTCTTTTTCTTGGAGAGATGACCTAAGCTGATGTGCAAGGTGGGACCCAATGAATACATCTTCAAGGGTGGGTCGAGGCTCGTTAACCAACTTTTAAATCAGTAAGTACGACTCTCCATTTCAGAATGTGGGTAAATTGACTATAATGATAACGCTCCTTATCGTTAACCTAATTTACACTAATGTAAAACTTGTATACTCAAACTATTAAAATTGTGTCGAAATTTTATCAGACGAACGGTAACATCGATGCATATGTTATACCGTTGGAATAAGATCAAGTATTGTAGAAACGTACCATCCATGTCTTGTACCGTTGCGATGACACCAAATTACACACTGTAACAAAAAGTTAAATTTTTTTATTAAATTTGTCTGTAAGGAACATGCCAAAAATGAATGTCCTTGGAAAAATAAAAAAAAAATGAAAAACTGTGCAGTGGTGAGACAGCAAAAGGGGACCAATGATGGGGTGTCTGAAGAGTGCACTTTTATTAGAAAATTTCCTTTTGAGAAAAGTTACATAAAAAGGCTGAAATATAGCACACGTGCCGATGTCTGATTGGAGTGTTTAGATTTTTTTAAAAAAAAAACAGCCAACAATTTTCTGACACATTTGCCTGTTTGTTTGGTTCATGTCTTTCTCCGTCTGTTTAGAGAAATTCCTTCTATTATATTACCAATGCTGATGCTGGTATTCCAATACAAGAATCCAGGTATGCAATGACAGAAGTGTACCAGGTTGGAGTTTGTTAAGAAACAACACATGATTTTGTAGGGGTTCTATTTTTATTTTTTTTAACCTTGCTACATGTATACTATGACGTATACTTTAGTTTACATTTTGTCACGTAGCATTATCTTATTGAACAGTTTAAATTTCAAAAAGTTTTTCTATCCAATTGACACTTGACAACAATGTAAGTGTCAAAAATCAGTGTACAAATAGTAAATTTTTTCCCCCCCTCCTTTTAGACTATACCAAGTTATTTGTTTTGTTAAGAAACAAGAAAAATATTGTTTAAACAAAAAACAAGGTTTTATAGGGTTGAAAGATATGTTCATATCCTGATAAGGGATATAAATGATTCTTGAAAAGAAAGTTGTGCTGGTCCTCCTAAAATGAAAATCGGATCTATATTAGATCTCACCCGAATCTCCTTGCAAAACTTCAATGTCCCCGGATTGAGTTTAAGCCTTTCTTGTGTAGCTTAGGTTGAAGATGAAGAAAGCCTCTTTCTGGGATTCTAAATTTGTTTTCAACCAAGTTAATAGTTTATATGTGTTTGATATTTATAAAGTATTCTCACATTAGGAAATATTAAAACTTCAACGTCAACATTAACGTCGATCAAGTAAGATATAAGCGTCAACTTTGCAAAAGACAACATACATTATCCTAGTCGACTTCTCATAAAATAGGGGAGCAAATTGGTGGCTGAATACAATCTCATGCCAAAAATTGATACGAGTTTTGATTTCGAGATTTTGAAATATCAGAGTTTTGACCATGTTTAAAAGTACCCGCCAAGATTATAGTTAGCCGAAAGGGCATTTATAAAAAAATAAAAAAATAAATAAAAATAAAAAATATGAGTTCGAGCAGGCAATAACCAAAGTCTATGCTTCTCTAATGCAAACAGATTCCATAAAAAGAATCAAAATGTGATTTGGACCGGCAGTTCAACATGATAATCATTAATAATAATGATAAATTTATTTCACTGCAAAGATTTTTAAAGATTTGGTAGTTAAGTGATGTAAATGATTGACATTAACCAATGCTGGACTATTCCTGAAGTGCATAAATTAGGTGAAACGCATGATTACAGTTAAGAGACATGTAAAATGTTTATTCGTTGTTCCATCAAGTCTTGCCCGACCAAACAGTTCTGAATTTTTTTCGGGCGGGTTTGGATCCGAAGGACGAAAATTTAAAGCAAGCATACAATATTTGATTGACACTACAGAAACAGCCATTTCAGAATCAGAAATTCAAATTTTTATCTCATTCAAATGTCAAATACATAGCCATTTCAGCAATAAGAATGGGAAAAGAAAACAACATTATAACCATTTACGCAGAACTAGTCGAATTTTTCCACCCAAAAGTTCCACAAGAAATCAGACATAGTTATTCCTACTTCGACCAGGAAATTTCGTACAAGTTGCAGCCTCCTCATAAAGAGAGTAAGAGGAAAACTGCAGAGATAGATTCTATCAAGGCAATCCAAAATTTTCTAAACAGCTTATAACGAGCTCACTTATTGTCCTCTTGACCTAATTTGTACCTCAAAAGATGACAAAGGCTCAAATGCAGAAAGCAAAAAAGAAAATCAATTATCCAAAAAAAGAAGCACGAAGATCATGATATATTTTTCGGCTTACAGGCCCTGATCAATGAGATAGTCTCCCAACCTCTCGACAACCATGTTGCATTGTCCTGGAGTTACAGGCTCCTCGTAGATACCAAAAACTAGTGCTTGGCCAGTCTTCTTAATGGTAATACCACCAGATCCCTACCAAATAATTGAAATCCCTTTGTTAAACATGTGCAACAATCCTTGCAGATAAGAATTTAATTGTGCAAGTGACAATCAGAGTTTGATGTTCAGATGGACTACTTGAAAAGAAACATCATGGAACGCTAATTAAACTTTGTCCAGAAAATAATAGAGAGAAAAGTTTATATGCAAGTAAAAGTATGTGCTGAGATTACATCTGACCAGACAAAAAGAGCAAGCTATTTTTGTTGGTCAAAGGGCACTATAGCCGAGGAGATCTACTGACAAGGGGTTGGCTCGTCCATTCAATGATTGCATACATGTGTCTCTGTGTGAGTGTGAGCGGAAGAGATTCACACATGCAAGGTAGTTCGTGTGGAAAAATGTAGTTTTCACAGAATCAATATCACTAGCCAAGAACATAATAATACGAAACTTGTCTAACCACATCATGCAATGTCATTTGACTGGAATCAATGTCACAGATCCTACAGCAGGAAAGTATGGAAAGATTCCAGTGATGGAAAATTAGTGCAAGGGAAAATTAGGGCACCATTTAGGAAATGGGTATAACTACAACTCAGTACAAAATGCCTCGGTCATTCAAACACTGACTGCAAATTTCAATGGACTGGTTCGGAAGCGACAAGCATGGAAACAAAGTCATTGATGATAGATGCCAGTAAAACTCATCGAGAAATCATACGGTATGCAGTGCGATACAACCCACTTGAAAATAGTTTGATTTCCATGAATTCTGGATATAGATGTAACTATTGAGTTCTTCTATACATTAAATAACACATCAATTGATCGTCAATGTTTTGAATATAGACTAGTACTATCAACTTTATACTGTATGTAACCGCTTTAACAATTAATCGTTTCTGCTAAGTGTTTTAAATGGAGAAACGACATATAATTAATAATTGTAATTCCTAGACTTGGTAAGAGTCGTTACATGGTAATCAATGAATTAAGACCTTATCATTATATTAAAGTTATTAATATAATGCAAATTATTTATAATGAGATGAGAGCATGCATACACATTTATTAAAAGTAAGCACACTTCATTTCTTTTCAAATTTTCTAAAGTTCAAAATGTCTTATAATTATACTAGATTTTTTATTGATTCAATTCTACACTTGCTAAATCTTTTCTCTCCAATAAAACCTTAAGTTATATCTTTAAACGCATATAAAATCACAAAGTAGTGAAAGAATAACCATCACAATAGAAAGAATGTGATATATTTAAATAAATTGTTAATGCATTATTCAACAGTGAATAGTTGCACAATAAGCGTCACAATACCACAGATAAATATAGAAAGAATGTGAAATTTCATAAATTTAAAGAAACTGTTAATGCATTATTCAAAAGTGAATTGTTTCACACTTTGAGGATGTTATATCATTTAATTAGGAGTAAAAGAAAGATATTTCGTGATAAAGAATAAAGGTTCATTCTAGTAAATAAGTGTACTAACAAGTTAAGAAAACTTCCAACATCAGATTCATTACAACTAAGGCAAAAGAAGTCATTATTCCCGTGGTAAAGGATGTAAACACAAATCAAAGCTAGCCAAATTTACTGCTGAGAACAATAAGCAGCAAATGTAGCCTGGCTCATTGCAATATGTAAAAAGCAACATTATCTAGTAACTAAAATGGATTATTCTAATGGTACCTAAAGGGGTACCGAAGAGTGTCCATAGTGGACACCCGGCGCCCCCCTATTGGATGGGCGCATGTGTACATGGTGATGTACCACTAGAATAATCCAAAGAAATTTTCCCCATTTGAAGCTTTATTGACCTGAACTAACCAGGGCAAACATTTTGTGGCATTCGCAGTATAAAAAACTTAGATACGATTCTATCCACACGAGGCACAATGTTAATGTACTTCAGTTAATTTCATTAACACGGATTTCTGGCATAGGATGAAATAAAATTTATTAATTCAATACCTTCTTTCCACGGATGACAGCTCCAGCCTCTCCTTGAATCACCATATACTTTGTTCCTCCAAGATGTAGGCCTGTTGGTGCCAGATGACCAGGTTCATTGAAATCTGTCATAATTCCATTCATCTCCTCTGGCTTGAACTGCAAACCCACAAATAGAAAACGGAGGGAAAAAAAATGTGAAAATCTCAAATGTAATATGGACCAAGACAAGAAATTACATAGCATAGAAAAAGGGATTACGAATTAGCAGAATGCAATCCCAATTTGATGATTGTGGGTAGTAAATAACTGAATTCATTCACACGAAAATCGATAATTCATACAAATTTTACGCTAATCATATGTTGTATGATGGGGAACATATTATTGCAAATCAGTGATCAGTGGTAAATAGAGCAGGAAAATCGATTGAAACCACAAATCCGCGTTAGCGTAAAACAGATAAAATCACAAAACATAGCCAAATCGCTTAAACTTTTAGATTACATTGAGCTTGAAAAAGAGAGTGAACCTGAGGGAAGGTAGCGCTCTGAGCCCAAACAGAACCGTCATGGCCGACGATGGCAGCTGCGGTGAGGCGGTGGCCTTCATGGCCCTCAATGTCACACATCAAATGATCATCAACATATGTTTGCCACGACATTTTCGAAAATTTCGACTCTCACAAATAATCTTAAACTTTTTTTTTCCGTCTTTCGCTTGAATTTTGAGCTTATTCTTGGAATTTGGATTGTGGGTTTGGAGTATTTGAAATAGTGAATGAGTGATGGGCATACGCATGTTAGTCTCGGGACCGTTCAGAATCGCTTAATTGTTGCCATTCACGTCAATGTCCGCCTTTATTTCAGGCATTCACAACGCCTTACCAGTTTTCCTGGTGCAAATTAACCACTTGTACTTCATCTTTTAAATATTGTACCTTTAATAATTAAAACTTCAGAGTGCGCTTGCTTTATATTTTCTCCATTGTGCTCAAGTTGCATTTATGAATTATGACTTAGTTTTATTTTTTATTTTTGTAAATTTTGTATAATGCCATAACATGTTTACGCCATTTTTGTTTATCAACACACTTTCAATTCCATAAAAATATATAGCATTTTTGTTGTAAGGTAAGAATGAACGCTCCAACCAAGCCACCAGCGTTTGCGTTCGATTATTTGATTGGCATAGGTCGAAGGCAAGATGTTCATTGCAAGCCCCCTGACTTTATCGTGTTGTACCCGAGATGCATGAAGGGCTTATCGTTCGACGTAGAATCAAATTATCTTTGATAAAAGAAAGTGAAGAAAGCTACAAGGCGCTCTTGCGCTGCGAAGGAAATGTCGACAACCAGAAGCTAGCTAAAAAGATCGTTCTATAAGTATATGACAGATCAAGATTTTTTTACAAATTGATCGTAAAATAATGACAATAATAAAATAAATAAAAATAAAATAAGACACCAATATTTATGTAGAAACCCAAGATGTAAAAACAACAGATAGAAGAGATATCTACTATAATTAATATTTATTTTTACAACAAGATCTCAATACTCTTAACTAAAATCTAAACTCTCAAGATGTTGTATAAATATTATAAGAACGATACAAGTTGTGACTTATAACCCTAGCAATCAAGTTTCATGATACAGGCTTAAGCTAGATAACCCTATCGCTCAAGTAACGAGCAAGCAGTAGGCGGGCGACAGCTCTACCGCTTTAGCGCCAGGTGAATGACACGTGAGTGACAAGTCTCTATAGAAAATATGTAAGCGCTCGAACAACAGGCTAGCAAAAATGTGGCCACTTTTCCTTCCGATCAATAATTTTAATCTCTCAAAGACCACTTTAATCAAAACTTCTAGAATTTGGGTCAAACTACAATAAATCTCCAACTTGAACCAAATTTCAATACAAGGAATTTCAAAAATATATCTCCAAAATAAAACACCACCCTCATCTTCCAAACAGTTACCAATAGGCTAAATTAATGACAAATACCAACTAAGTTCAAATAATGATCGAACTTATCAATGAGAAGTAGTTTTGTGATCATATCAACAGGATTATCCTTGGTATCGACTTTGCTCACTACAATATTACCATGAACAATCACATCATGCACAAAATGATACCCCACATCAATGTGCTTAGTCCTCTTGGTGAACATCTGATCATTAATCAGAAAATAGCATTCTAACTATTACAATATATAGTAAAAATCTGCAAGTCTCCACTAATTTCACCAATCAATCCTCTCAACCACATAGCCACCTTACATGCCTCCATAATGGCAATGTACTCTGCCCCTATTGTAGAAAAAACTACTGTATTTTATAAAGTAGCTTTCCAACTGATAACACAACCTTTAAGGGTAAACACATACCCTTTATATAAATATCTATTGCACTGCTTTCCAATGTTCATTGCCAGGCTTTGCCATGTACCTACTAACAGCACTACCTGCACGTGTCAAATCTAGCATTGTACAAATCATAGTATATATAAGCCAACCAACTACACTAGAATATAAAACTCAAAACATATAATCAATAGCTTCATCTGATTGAGGACACAATACATATGATAATTTGAAGTGGGCAACTAAAAGAGTACTATCAGCCTTAGCATTCAGTATATTAAACCTTTGAAGCACCTTCTCAGTGTACTCCTTCTAACTTAAGTACAATCTGTCAATCTTTCTATCTCTCAAAATTTTCATACCAAGAATTTTCTTTGCTGCACCCAAATCTTTCATCTCAAACTTTTTACTATTTCACCTTTCTAACCTCGGCTTTACCTTTGACTGATATGAGCATATTATCAACATATAATAACAATATATGTGATTGTTCCACCATCTTTCTTTTTGAAGTACATACAACTATCATAATTATTTCTAATGAAACTATGAGTAATCATGAATGAATCGAACATTTTATACCACTGCCTCGGTAATTACTTTAGTCTGTACAAGAACTTCTTCAACAAGTACATAATCTTCCTTTCTAGAAACTAAGAAACCCTCTGATTGTTGTATGTAAATGTTCTCATCAAGTTCTTCTTACAATAATGTTGTCTTGACATCCATCTGCTCACTGTTGAAAGTAAAGTCCAAATTGAACTATGCTTTACAACTGATGAGAACACATCTGTAAAGTCAAAAACTGAAATCTTATTGTAGCCCTTTTCTACCAATTTGGCTTATACCTAGTATCTTCAATCCATGATATGCTTTCCTTTCTTTTGAACACCAACTTGCAACAAACAACCCTTTCATCCTTAGGTAATTTCACAAAATCCCAAGTACTATTTTTATTCAATAACTCTCTATCTTCCTGCATAGCAATTGACTATCTACTAGAATCACTGCAACTAACTGCCTCTAAATATGTAGTGAGCTCTTTGGTGGAATCAATCTCCACAACTACATTCAATGCATAAACTACTAAATCTACTTATCCATACTTCTGTGGAGGTCTAATTTGTCTGCGAGGTCTATCCTTAACAATTGAATACTGTGGTGTTGGTGGTGGTATAGGCAAAGTAGGTAAAGTATTATTATCTATTAATTCTAGACTAAACTAATCTGTATTAGAATTTTTTGGAACTTCTGATTGTTTTCCTTGAACAATTTTCAACTCTACCTGAGTTGAGTGATTTTGTTCCTCAGTTTTATCAGAATTTCCATGAGGTAAACCATGAACCATAACAAGTTCATCAAATATTACATCTCTATTAACCATCACATTTCTTGTCTCAAGAAACAATAATTTATACTCGTTCACACCTGATTTATATCCAAGAAAGATACACTTTTTGACCTATGCTCCAATTTTCCATTATCCACATAAGCATAAACAGGACACCTGAATATTTTTAAATCATAATAACAATAATGTTTACCTGACCATACTCTTCTGGTGCCTTTTTCTTAATGGAAGCTAAGGGTGAGCGATTAACAAACTGTAGTAACAGTTTCAACCAAAAAAGTCTTAAACAATTCAGAAATTGAAAGCATACAATGAAACTTTCCATTAAAGTTCTATTCATTCATTCTGCCATACTATTCTTTGAGGAGTTGATGTCAAGTGTTTCAAGATACCTTCAGCTCTGTAGAAAGCTATTAAATTCATCTCAACAAAACTCCAACTCATTATCTATACTTGAATGTTTCACCTATTTTCTAATCTGCTTTTCTATCAATATTTTTCACACCTTGAAGGTCTCAAACACATTACTCTTCTGTTTTAAGAAGACTCTCCAATCTTTCCTTGAGAAATCGTCGATCACTAAAACAAGTAATAAGGACCTCGTTTTGAAGGCATCGTAGCGGGTTCCTAAAGATCTGAATGGATATATTCAAATATTCCCTTTGTGTTGTGTCTTTTTTTAATGAATTTGACTCTTTTGTATTTCTTAAAGACATAATGCTTGCAAAACTTTATCTTACAGGTCTTCTGCCCATCAAGAAGTCTCCTCATACTCAACTCTGTCATACATGTCTCACTTATCTACCCAAGTCATATATGTCAAAGTTGACTAACTTTCTCATCGGTCAAAAAATAAGTGAAAACTGCTGCATCTCCTGTAACTGTGGAGCATTGCAAAATTTGCAACTGTGTATATTTTTTCTATCCCTTCATGACAACAAGAACGCTCCAACTCACTTTCATAACTCAACTTTCATCTATATATTTATGACCCTTTGAGTCAAGTGAACTCAAAGATATGATATTTTGCTTCAGTTCTGAAAGTGCTTTGCATCTGTAAGTGTCCTAATAGCACTGTCAAACGTTATGATTCTGACCATACCAATTCCAACAATTTTACAATGCGCTTTGTTTTCCATAATCACTGCATCTTTCGAAAATCTTTCATGCGATGTAAACAAGTCCCTATGGGGCACATATAGAAAGTACATATCCAGTCAAGAACCCATTACTCACAAGGTTTAGAACCCATTTCAAAAATCACAAGAAGCTCTCCTTCACTCTGCTCATCTTCCACAACATCAACCTCTGCTGTGTTAACAAGTTGCTTTCCTTTTTCAATAGCATGAGTAGCTTTATTTCTCTTTTTAAGTAAATAGCAATCAACTTTGATATGCCCCTTCTTCTTACAATGACGACATACTTTTTCTACATGTCTGAATTTCGATCTGCCCCTCATATTTGTATTAAGATTTCTCTCGTAAACAACTAGACCTTGACCTTGACTTCCAAATCCTCCAGCAAGATGTCTCATCTTCTCTTTAGATAGTAAAGCATCATTGATCTCTTCCACAATATGAATATCACGACTATAGATAATAGTATCTCTAAAGTCATATATGATAGCGGCAGAGAACACAACAATATCAAAGCCAAGTCCTCTTTGTCATACATAACTTCTAATGTCTCAAAAAGATCATGATATTTTTGAACATAGTTAAGTGATCATCCAATGATGCACATTTCGGACATTTGGTGAGAATATAAGCGCAGTTTCAAATATAACTGCTAGTCAAGCTTTTTGTCATACAAAGTTGCTCTAATTTCAACTACAATGCAGCGACACTTTTTTCTTTTAGAATGTCCAGAAGAATTTTATTTAATAGATGTAGATGAGTTTGATATTGGGCTTTTCGATACCCACGCTGCTTTTCATCCTGCATCCAGATTAAAGACATCCTATCAAAGCCTTACAAGGATTCCTCCAAATCCATCTTTGAGAAAACTGCTCTAATCTGCACTTGTCATGAAGTAAATCTCGTGTTTCATCCAATAATGAAAATGATATTTCATCGTTGTCACGTGGAATATTCAACATTGCTTTGATACCACTTGTTATGAATTGATCGCAAGATAATGAAATAATGAAATAAACAATAACAAGACAAGAACACCAAGATTTATG